AAAAAAAAAAAAAAAAAAAAAAAAGAATTTCTTTACCACCAGTTCCTATAGAGTAAGGTGAGGGAAGGTTAGAGTTTCTGTGACCTGCTTTAGGGAAGAGAAATTCTAGCTTTTATGATTTGCCTTGAGGAGGGAGTTATGAACCAGGAATGGTGTACAAAAATCAGAGAATGAAATTACGATACATGGTTGATAATATTGATTTAAAGGAAATCTACTGTAAAAGCTTTCATAAAATGAATATATGCAACAGGATCCAACTTGTAGATCTGCACTTATTAAGAATTTACAGCCAGGGGGTCGGGGATTTAGCTCAGTGGTTTGGTGGCCTGTCTTGCAAGTGCAAGGACCCAAGTTCAATCCCCGGTACCAAAAAAAAAAAAAGATTTTACAATGTACTTTGCATTTAAGGAACAAAGCTTTAAAAGAACACATTTTTTGACTTCAAATAAGTTACAAGGCAGGAACCTGAACATAGGGCAGATTGAAAGGACAACCTCGCCAGGCATGGTGTCCCGTGCCTGTAATCCCAGCACTCAGGAGGCGGGGCAGGAAGATTACTGAGAGCAGAAGGCCAGCCTGAACAAATAGCAAGACCCTGTCTCAAAAACAAAGAAACCACAACCTACATCTGCAATCACCCAGCAGAAACTGCCAGGAACAACATTTTCCTCACTGTCGTCTAATTAAGTGACCAACCTTATGGTCTTCTATTTATTTCAATCTAATTTAAAGGCCTTTATTTATGTGCCCTGTGAATGCTCAGAGCTAAGCTAAAATGTAACAAGTACCCATTTCACCTCTGCAGTCAAGGAAGACGGATAACTAGAAATTTGAGATGACCTGCGAGTTTCCAAACAGGTCCCCAAACTTTACTGTGCAGACCCCTCCCCAAATCTTGGAACTATGCAGGTCCCATGTCCAGAAATTCAAATTTAGTTGGCCTGATGCAAGGTCCTGTGACCCGCATTTTAGCACCTTCTCCTGATAATACTGAGGCTGCTGGTCTGTAGCCTATACCTCAAGAAAACTAGAAAGTCTTGGCTGGAGATATAGCTCAGTGGTACAGGGCATGCTTAGCATGTGCAAGGCCTTGAATTTGATACTTGGTACCAAAGGAAAAAGAAAAAACCAGGAAGTCTGAGATTTTCTGTCTTTAGTGTCCAGAGGAGGTGGAAAGGCACTGAGCAGGGACCCAAAAAATGCACAGATGCTCAGCCAGCCCCAGTCCCACCACTTTTGGAAAGGAATGAAAAATCTCCTCCTTGTCCCTGCCCACTCCCCACAATCTTTCTTCCTTTTTCTCTTCTGTCTCTCTTCTTGCAGTGCTAAGGATCAACCCATAGCTTTACAGCTTGGTCACTGAGCTACACTTCCAGCACTAGACACTTGTTTCTGGGGTGGGCCATATCTTCCAAGCTACGGTCCTGGTGACCAAGGGCACTGGGGCTCATGGAGTGACTGCCCAGGGAAGGTCACTAGTCAGAAGTTCTTTCTGAAGAAGCAAGATATATCATGTACAGGTACAAATTCCCTATGATGAATGGTATTGGTTTTCTTTTTGGTACCAGGGATTGAACTCCGGTCCTTGCGCTTGCAAGGCAGGCCACCAAACCGCTAAGCTAAATCCCTGGCTGGCCTGAATGCTATTGTATGTATCTAAAATGTGCCAATAAATGTTTTGGTTTAAAAAAAATAAACCACACAGAAGCTCTTTCTGCACAGACTGCACCTGTTAGAGGCTGGCATGGAGGCCACAGGCCCCAAACCCCAGAGACTGGCTGGTGGGACACTCCTTCAAGTAGGTGGGGCACCAAGCTGGCATTTAGGCACAAGCCAGCTTTTTCCATCCATACCACCACACACGCCACCTTCAGTCTGCATCTCCCAGAGGTTTGCCTGTCCAGCTTTCTGGGGCCCCTTGTGCTACTTCGAAGGATGTGAGAAAGTACAGTGGAGGTGGTGTCAGTTTTGGACAGATGGTGACTCTTAATGAAGGAGGACACTGTTCCTTATAGGGGTGGAGATAAAGTTGGCCACTCCAGGCAGGTGAGGTGGTGCATACCTCTAATCCTGGCACTCCGGGAAACTGAGGCCAGAGGGTCACATGATGAACCCTAACCTGGGCAACTTAGTAACTTTTATTTTGTCTCAAAATAAATAAACAAACAAACAAACAAATAAATAAAAAGAAGCTGGGGATGTAGCTTGGTGCAAAGGCCCTGAGTTCAGTCATCAATTTAAAAAAAAAAAAGCCAGCCATTCCAGATTCTAACTATTGCACACAAGACAGGAAGAACAAGTGCAGCTTCAGTAGCAAGGAGAACACTGCCTCTGCTGATGGGAGACATACTCCATCCCCAATCTGAGGGAAAAGCTCCAGCCGGTTCACAAGGCTGCCAGCTGAGAGGGGGCGAATGATTTAGCCCAGAGCGGTGTCCAGTCTGAGGCAGGATGCACGGTCCTGGTAGCAGGAGTCGCTATTCCGAGGCAAGGAACCACACTCCTTCCCTCAGGGTAACCAAAGTGGATTTCTAAATCAAGGTTCTGTAACTTTTCGCCGGGGCACGGCCTACTTGCGCGGGAGAGAGTGGCCGCAGCGGTAACCCTGAGGCAATTTAGCGCCCCGCGGCGGCGCTTCGCAAAGGCTGTTAGGGTTTCCTCGGAGGCGGCTGGGCTCCTCGGGGCCCCTCACAGGGGATCAGTGGGCTCGCGGGGGGCGTGCAGCACCGCGATGCCCTTTGCAGCCGGCCACCCTCCTCCCTCCCCGCGGGCTTTTGCACACGACGCGGGCGGCAGCTTCACACGGGGTGGCGAGGGCCGGGATAAAACGGGCTGACGCGGGGCGCAGCGGCCGGAGCGCACACGTGGAGAGAGGAGACGCGGAGCGCGGGACTCCCGGGCGCGGAGCGGGAGCGGTTGGTGGGCGCCCATCGAGGCCTCTTTCGGCGAGGCGGGGGTGCGCGGGGCATGGAGGCCACTGAGAAGCAGCGCCTGTTGGACGCCAGGTGTGGAGCTGGGGAAGGCGAGAGCCTGGGGAAGGCGAGCACTGGGGCGGCATCCAACCCATCCCATTCCATTCCATCTAGTTCTGGTTGGTTTGGGCTGCAGCCTGAACTGGGACCACGCCAGAGGAGTGGGATGAGGCAAGGGAAAGGGGAAATTGGCTTCGGTCCCCATGCTCCTGGTGCTATCTCTGCCTTTCTGCTGTGGAACAAGGATCCTGACCCCAGTATGAGGGAGCAGGGTCGCGACAGTGGCTGGAGCCCCGCCCACACTCCGGCCTTTGCCCTCGACCTGCCCAGGGGAGGCCCTGTGCCCCAAGTAAGCGGTTGGGGCGGCTGGGGCGCTCTTCAGCCAGAGCCAGAGCTCTGTTCTTTCTCCGCTCCACTGCACAGCATACCTCTTGGCCAGTGCCCAAGGTCCGGCCTTCTCTAGTCCTTGGAAGGGACGAAGGAGGAGAGAACAGAGCGGATCCAAGGCCCAAGGACTCCCATTTGTTCAGCATCCCTCCCCTCCGAGCACAGGCTTCCCGCCTTCTGGTCTCGCCACCGGGCCCTGAGTGCTCTTAGCTCTCCTTCCCGCTGGACACAGGGCCACACCAAGGCCCCACGGAGAGATGGGACTGGAGTCTGCTCTTTGCCCCTGGCGAGTTCCCTCTCCTTTCCTCCCTGGCCAGGTCATACATAGGATCTCTGTGGCCCCAACCTGGGCTGGACTTCCAGGCTGTTGAGCTGGCTGCCCAGAGCAGCCATTACTGCCATGCCCAGAAGGATCCAAGCAGTCGCTATGACCCCAAGAAGGAACGAGCTCATCGCCAGCTCTATGTGGCCTCTGTCGTCTGCCTGGTGTTCATGATCGGGGAAGTCATTGGTAAGAAGTTTCGTGCTAATTAAATGAAGTTGGTGCATGGAAAACCTGGATGTTCCCAGAAATATGAATACCAACAGCCCCATTTATTGAACACTCATTATGCTAACCCCTTCATATACACATTATCTCATGCAATTCTCACAGCCAGCTTGTGCTATCAACTGTATTTTTTCCCCCAGTACTGCGGGTTCAACCCAGAGCTTTCATACTGAGTTACATCCCCAGCCCTATTGACTGATTTGTATTTGTATTTTGAGACAGGGTCTCACTAAGTTGTCCAGTCTAGGCTCGAACATTCAGTCCTCCTGCCTCAGCCTTCAGGACACTGGGATTACAGGCGTGCACCAGCGTCTAGTTTATTTTCCTTATTTTTACAGATGGTGAAACTGAGACATAGTAAAGTTGTGGGTTTTGTTTCTTTGTTTTATTTTTGGTACCCGGGATTGAACTCAGGACCTTGCTCTTGTGAGGCAGGCATGGTGCCGCTGAGCTAAATCCCCTAGCCCTGAGACAGATGTATTAAAGTTAAGTAACCTGCCAAACATCACACATCTGGTAGGTAAGGGAAGTCCCAAAATACCTATTATGTTTTCTAGCCCATATTTGAGTTTGATTTTCACATTTACCCTCTAAGTAGATGTTGTTAACTCATTTCACAGAGTGGAAGTTGAAGCTCAGAAAATGTAAGCCATTTGTTTATGGTTGTACAGCTGGTAGACAGAGAGATCTTGAACCCAGTGTGGCTTTTTACAGAGCCTATGGGCTCCCAGCTGCACATAGTCTGGGGAGGTGGCTCTTCAGGGACCTATCAAGGACCCTCACTCTCCTGTCTCTGTCCCTGCAGGTGGGTACCTGGCACACAGCCTGGCTATCATGACTGACGCAGCCCATCTGCTTGCTGACTTTGCCAGCATGATCATCAGCCTCTTCTCCCTCTGGATGTCCTCCCGACCGGCCACCAAGACCATGAACTTTGGCTGGCAGCGAGCTGGTGAGGACACCAGTTGGGCTAAAGATGGGCTTGAGTGACAGGATGGGACAGAAAAGAGGTTTAGAGTGGATCCCTGAGTGAGGCCAGGAGAGTGATCTGGGGTGAGAAAGAGGATGTCAGCGATGGCCTTGGTCCTCTGGGAACTCAGTCTATGGGACAACCCTGATCCCAGTCATCCAAAAGCTCTGATTTTGCAGATAAGCAAAGTTCACCTTCCTAAGAAAGTAGTGGCTCAAGAACTTCAAGCACAGATGACCAAGGCATTAGTACTATACATAACTCCATGGATCAGCTCTGTGGGGAGGGATAGGTCAGAAAAGGCTGCTGAAAGACACAGGTCTTAAACCATCAGTTCACTTGGGAGCTGCATTGATATTTTCCTGTACTGGGAGATGGCCTGGCCTCCCTTCCTTAGATGACTTATTGCCAGCTGATCAAAAGGTATATATTATGTCAGTTTCTTTCCATGTAAAACAAACAAGGTTGACCTGGATGTCTTCTTCAATTCCTTCCAGCCCTGACATGCTCAGAGGTATGAGTGGTGGGGTAAGGTGTATCTGTGCTGGCCACACCTTCAGTGGGACTCAATGGGACCCAGGCCCTAATTATTGTTATTATTATTATTATTATTATTATTATTATTTTTGGTACCAGGGATCGAACTCAGGTCCTTGCACTTGCGAGGCAGGCGGCACAAAACCACTTAGCTAAATCCCCAGCCCCAGGCCCTAGTTTCACAAGGGGGAGGAGAGACTGTGAAGTGGGGAGGCCCCCAGCCAGAGGGTTCCATCTCACTTTGGTGCTGGGGCTTGCTTCTTCCCCAGAGATCCTGGGAGCCCTGCTCTCTGTGCTGACCATCTGGGTTGTGACTGGGGTGCTGGTGTACCTGGCTGTGCAGCGACTCATCTCTGGGGACTATGAGATCAAAGGGGACACCATGCTTATCACGTCAGGCTCTGCTGTGGCTGTGAACATCATGTGAGTGTGGCCTCGGTTCCCTTGGCACGTCCCCCTCCCCCGGTGTACTTTGCTGTCCTTGGACGTCCATGCTACAGTCCGGCACAGGACAGGAACAAAACTTCGGTAATGTCCTGAGCTCTGGCAACTGGGATACCTTAGGCCATGGACATTGAGGGCTATAATCAGGGCTCACATCAACTCTACCTACTTCCCCAAATCTGTCCAAATAGCTTTAGAGCCCTCATACCTGCAGTGGAGGGATGAATGTAGCTGTCCCTGGAGGTGTAATCCACATTCTTTTTCAAGCTGATGTAGCTGAAACTGGAGGCAGTGATACATTGAGCATGGTGTTTCAGTTGGGCCTTCTGTCTCACTTGCATAGTGGCCCGGTTCCCCCGTCTGTGCCATGATAGGGTGAACTAGATGACCTTCACACTACCCTCCTGCCCTGAGATTGTTGTTCCCAGACTCAGTCTAGCCTTGGAGCTGATGAGCCCTTTCTCCATACCTCTGACTCAAGGCCATGTGTATTAGGCTCTTGTCTTTGCCAGAGAAATCGCAGAGCCCAAGGGCCTTGAGATTTTGGCCCCAGAGGGAGGTCAGCCCTATGGGTGGCTTCTGACTTTCTGATTTGAAGCCTCTGCTGCTACCTCAGTAACCCCCTGGGCCCTATCTCCACTTTTACAGAATGGGGTTGATCCTTTACCAGTCTGGCCATGGGCACACCCACGGCAGTGGGCACAGCCGTGAGGACACCAGCCAGCAGCAGGAGAACCCCAGTGTCCGAGCTGCTTTCATCCACGTGATTGGGGACTTGCTGCAGAGTTTGGGTGTCCTGGTGGCAGCCTATATTTTATACTTCAAGGTCAGAGCTGGGGACAGAGGGAGGAGGATGGGGCAGGGGAGTGCAGATCAACTTGGGCTCCTCTGTGTTTTGGGCACTTCTGGATTCCTGCTCCCTCTCAGCTCCAGGCAAAAGGATGAAGAGAGGGAAGGTATATTTATCCAATACCTACCGAGTACCAGCTCCTCTGTTCTTCACAACTGCTCCCAAAGAGTGGGTAGCAGTGTTTTATACAGCCTGGAAAGGCTTGGGGACTTGCAGAGTGTCAAGCCCAGGGTTGTGTTGCTGGAGCCTGGACACTGCCCAACGTAGAGGCAGGGAGGTGTTGTGGGGGTCAGGCATTGGGTTTGGAGCCTGTAGGATGTTAGTGTGTTGCCTGCTCACATTGAGCCTCAAATTCCCCATCTATAAATTGTGGATGTCCAGTCAAATGCTGTCTAAGATTCCTTTTAGTTCTGCTCATGTCTCAGCCCCTCAGGTGGGAAGGACAGGAAAAGCCTGGGCCACATCCTGAACTGTGGTCTGTCCTGTCTGTTCTTCCAGAAGTGGAATAGTAGAAATTAGGAGGCAGGCTAGGGTGAGTCTTGTGCCCACCCTGTAGAGAGAGCCCTGCGCCCCAACAGTGCCGGGGAGGAGAGGGAGCTGAGGTATTGGCTGGTGAAGCCCAGGTCTGCCTTGCCCTTTTCCTGTAGCCGGAGTATAAGTATGTGGACCCCATCTGCACCTTCATCTTCTCCATCTTGGTCCTGGGGACAACCTTGACCATCCTCAGAGATGTGATCCTGGTATTGATGGAAGGTAATCTGGGCTGTGGGCTTTGTGGACTTCGTTTTGGTTCTGGGATCTCAAACCATAATCTTCCTCAAAGTGTGTGTGTGTGTGTGTGTGTGTGTGTGTGTGTGAATCCCAGCACACTGGTGGGGAGCCAGGTCCTGGAGCCAGCATGAGCTGGAAACCTCCTGGGGCCCCCAGCTGACCTTGGCCTGGTGCTGAGCCCTCAGGTGTGTCACTTCCTGGAAAAGTCCTCTGCCTGTCACTGTGCTACCGTCTTGCCCAAGGGTGCCTCCTCCTCTGCCAGGGATGTGTCTTACCTGCCTAATCAGGTGGCTTCTGGGTGGCATCCGTAGCACCTGGAGCTCCAGCCTGACCACATGCCCATCCCCAGTCTCTGCTGCCTTCTTAGGAAGAGTGGGTGAGATTGTGTTTCCCACAGCACAGGGAATGGCTGAGGCTCAGAATAGGGCAGTCAGTCTGAGTCCACCCCAGCTCAGGCCTTTCCTGCAGCTCTCAGGGCCCAAACCATACCTTGGTTCAGGAGGAGAGCTTCAGGCTGGTGGAGAATGATCTGCCCTGACTGCCATGGTTTATTATGCTTTAGGGCTTGGGGTTTGGGCCAAGGTCTTGGGTCTCTGGGTGGTCAGGGTCAGTTTGGAGTGAAGTTGGTGCTGCTGGTCTGGGGTTGGTGGGAGTGTTTGGCTGTGGGTCAGAGCATTTCTCCAACAAGATGCCTGACTTAGATAAAAGTGATGATGATGCCTCAGGCAGGTGGGACTCTCAGGTTCTGTTCCTTCTTTCTTCCTTGCATTAAAAACAAAAACAAAAAACAACCACTTATTGAATACCTGCAGAGATACACACTGTTCTAGGCACCACGGATACAGTGGTGAGAAAAACAAGAGCTCTGGTCTCGTGGCATTTCCAGCCCAGAGGAGGAGCCACATAAATAGTCTAACAAGATGGTTTCACACGGTAGCTGAAGAGAACACGGCGGGATGCATGGGGAAGTGGGGCAACATCAGACTCGCTGGCCAAGGAGATTCCCCAGCAGAGAAGGGCAGGAGGGCAGCAGCATCCTTTAGCCCCTGTCCCTGCTGCCTTCAGGGACTCCCAAGGGCGTGGATTTCACCGAAGTGCGGGACCTGCTGCTGTCGGTGGAGGGAGTGGAAGCCTTGCACAGCCTGCACATCTGGGCTCTGACCGTGGCCCAGCCGGTGCTCTCTGTCCACATTGCCATTGGTGAGTGACTGGGACACTAGAGCAGGGTGAGGGAGTGAGGCAGCACAGGCCTGAGGCCACCCCCATGGGTCTTGCTGAGTCCTTGCACTGGGCCCGCACTTGGGACATATGGCTGCGTTTGCTCAGCGTGATCTCATTTACCCAGGGAGAAATGGGGCTGGGGGGGGTGGTGGTCAAGTTTTTTGCTTGGGCTCGTGCAGCAAACAAGTGCAGAAGAAGCAGATTATCTTAAGCCTGGTGCTTTTTCTGCTCTTTGAGGCCTGGGCCGGCTATGGGGTCTGAGAGTTTGCCTGATGCAAGTGAGTAATCGGAGAGCTTCGTCTTCGTCTTCTTTTGTGGCACTGAGGATGAAATCCAGGCTTGTTCTACCACTGGGCTACATCCCCATGCCCTTTTTATTAGGAGACAAGGTCTCACTAAGTTGCTCAGGCGGGACTCACACTCGGGACCCTCCTGCCTCAGCTTCTCAAGTGCTGGGGTTATAGCAGCATGCCCCTATCCAGCTTCTTCATGTTCACAGTCCCCTACCCTGTTCTGCCAGTGGTAGGCAGGAGACTCGGGCCCCTGATTGTTCCAAAAGGCCAAGCTTGAGTAAACTGGTCTTTGGTTTCCCCCATTCCCGCCCTGTGTCTCTTGCCCCAGCTCAGAACGCAGATGCCCAGGCTGTGCTGAAGGTGGCCAGCACCCGTCTCCAGGGGAAGTTCCACTTCCACACTATGACCATCCAGATTGAGAACTACTCCGAGGACATGAAGGACTGTCGGGCGTGCCAAGACCCCTCAGACTAGCAGCCTGGCCAGCCACCGACTGAGGCATGACCAGGACCTGCAGGTGGCCAGATGGAGTGTCCTGCAGACCTAGCCAGAACTCTGCCTACCCTGTACCGCTCTCTGCTGCAGGTCCAGCGTGGAGTTTTGTCCCTTACAGGAGTGGGGCTCTTCCTGGCCTCCCCCATCTGCCCACAGCCAACTCCGGAGTGGGACTGGGCAGGCGTCAAGCCGGTGCGACCCCTCTCCTCCACCTCTGGGTCAGCTCCCCACAGTGTTTGGGTGTGGTCCTAACTGGTGTCACCCACAGGGCGAAAGTCACTGAAGCATAGCCTGGGCGACAAAGAGGAGACTGGCCTAAAAGTTCTCCCACTGGCCTACATTTCCCACCTGCACCCTGACTGCTCTGGAAAAGAGCCCCTCTCTCTGCCAATATGGTTTGAAGGGCCACAGGGGTCAGGGGTTGTGAGGACCCCTGGACTCACACAAGTTCCCCTGAGATGTGGATCCAGGGGCACCTGAGGTCTCCCTGTGGCTTAGTCACCTTGGCTGCGGGACAAGTACTTCCCTTTCCTGGAGGAGGAGGCTTCTTATGGGTAAGAACCTGGCTGGTTTCCTCAGCCCTTGTTCTCCCAGCCCAGGAAGCTGGGCCAATTTACAGACACCCTTGACACAGTTTGGGGGAACGGGTTGTAGCTGGGTCTAGCCCAAACAACCTCCCAGCCCCAGAGCCACTCCTCCCACCCTGTGAGTGTTCCAGGGGATTGCAGAGCCTGGAATCATACATGATTGACCTGGCTTGATTGCCTGTATGGACTGACTTAGTCAGAATCTGGGCACAAAGGACGTGCACAGCCCAGGGCCTGACTAGGAGGGGGGATCCTGGCCTCTGGGATTCTATGAACACTGCTGATTTAGGGGCTGGCTTGTGTTTATAAGAAGCAAGAGGGGAGAGCTGGCCCATCTCACAGAGGCAACATGCCCAGTTATCAGAGTCCTATGCCTAATGTCTTTCTCACCTAATGTCCATTCCTGCTGGCACGAGCAAGTGTCCTTAGGCCAGTTGGCCTCCCCATTCTTATCTAAAGACCAAGAATGGGATACCTACCTCACAGGGCTGTTGTGAGGACAGAGCCAAAGACCTGGTCACCTGGCCAAGCACCTGGTAGTTGTTGGAGAGTGGTTCCTTTCATTGTCATCCTGGAAGGAGAGAACCTCTGTGGCCTAAGGCTGTCAGGTGGGCTTCCAACTTGCCCAGGGCAGTACAGAGTCTGTCTTTATTCTGTCTTGGCCATGGCAGTAGGAGGAGGGCCTGGTCACTTCCTTCCTTCTTTGAGCCTCTTCCTAAATGATCTTTGTGTCTTTCCAGCTCTGTCACCTGGATTGCCTGAGCTCTAGGTCAGGGGTCCTTCAGCCCCTCAAGGTTTGTGGGATGTCATCAGTGTTGGCCTGGAAGCGGCAGGGGCCAGGGAGGACAGCTGATAGATGTGGACCCCACCAGCCTCAAGGAATCAAATATCTGCCTTGCAATCGCTGCAGGCTCCAGCAACCTATATCTTGGGCTTCCCTGTGTGCCAAGTCCTGACACCTTTTCCAGGAGACAGTCATTTGCTGTCTTCTGTTTTTATATAGGAGAAAAGTGAAGCTCAGAGAGGCTAAGTCACCCAGCCAGTGTGAAGCAGCTCTGGGATTTCTGCCTCATCCCCTGAACCACCCTTACGGCAGGGGCTGGGGACCTGCTCTGAGTTGGATGTTGGGGCGGTCTGAGCCTGGGAGTTCAGCAGCGCCTGCTCTACAGAACAGCGATGCCAAGGCAGTTCAGTGCCCTGGGTGCTGAAGCCACAATTGGAAAGGTGCTGCTTTGCCCCGGCTGGTCTGGCTTGGGAGTTCTCCCCACCTTGGAAGGCGGCCCAGGCACAGCTGTGCACTTCCTCACCACCCCCCCAAACGTTCTTGACCCTGGGCCAGACGGCTCCCCTCCCACCTTCATCTCCAGTCCCCCTGCACCTCCAGATTGGACAGCCCCTGACTCCCAAGGGACACCCACTCTGTCTACCCAGTGGTGACAGTCTCCAGGGAGGACTGAGTCATCCAGGGGCCAGAGGTCAAGCTAGAGCATGGGGATGGGAGGTTTGCGGAGTGCTTAGGGACACCATGTTCCAGATGGCAATCTAGTCACGGGAGTTTCCAGAGCGGTGAAGGCTTCAAAGCAGGAAAACATCTCATCTGACACCCTAGACGGGCTTGGACCCCTCACCCCACCCTCTAGTCACCCGGGCTCCCGGAGAGCCTCGAGAGCTCGCCTCCCAGCCTGGTGCTCACAGCTGCTGTAAGTGTATTTATAGCCTGAGCTTGAAGGGGCAAGGACACGCATTTTATTTCGGAAGTGATAATTCCAGTTCCAGGTGGACGAACCCAGGAGAACGAGCGCCCCTCCCCCATTCACCCTCTCCTACAGGGCGCTGGGGACAGCCCTCCTCCTGCCCAGTCCTGCTGGAAATGGTCCCTTTTTACTGATCTCCAAGAGTGCAAGCCAAAGGGGTGTGGCTGTTCTTTCCGATTCCTCCGGTGTTTGCAGACCCCAGGCTGTGCACACTGCTGACCCACCCACGCCCCCTGCCCGCCCTTTCGCCCCAGCAAGGGGAAGTTTAAAACCCCATTCCCTTTGGGAGGCAGTGCGGCGCGGCGCTGACCCCTAGTGGTACAAATCGGCAATGCAGGAAGGCCGGTTCGTGGCAGCGCCCAGGGTCCTGCGCGAGAGATGCGTCACCTACGTTCGCATCTCTTTTCCTACTCCGACTCCTGGCTTCCCTACATCTCTTTGCTCCTTCCCTGGGGCGCCTGAGAAGTCAGGCGCCTGCAGATGTCTACCTTCTTCGCGGACTAGGAACCCGGGGTGGGAGGGGTGCACGGTGTCCACGCAGGCATACAGTTAAAGTCTTTCTACCTGTTCATCAAATGTTTGCGGCGCAACTGCCAGACCAGAGAGAAGAAGATGCGACCCGCCCTCCGGACTCCCAGGCCGGTCTTGGGGGTGGTCAACGTTGTTCACGTTGCCAGCCAGCGTGAACAGCGCGGGAATCGCGAGAGCATAGACGACCTAGAACCCTGGGAGTGGGACATAAATGTCAGGCAAGGATCTGAAAGACAAGTAAAGTTAACTGGGCGGAGAAACTAAGAAAGGCATCCCAGAAAGCCGGTCAGCCGGAGTGAAGCTACAGTAGCAGAGAGCAAAGACGCCCCGCACCCAGCCGTTGCCTAGCGCCGCCCGGCTGTGGAGGGGTGGCCCCGCCCACGGGCGCCCTGGCCGTGATTGGTCGGTCGAGAGTGACGTTTAGGTACAGGCTGTCCTGATTGGTTCCAAGATGCCCCCGCAAGCAGGTGCCGCTAGGCCCGGGACCCAGGCTACGACCTCCCAGGGTCTCTCCTAGGGCTTCTTCTCCAGGCTGCGGTACTTCTTCCGCTGCACAGACACCGGGTCCTTGAACAGCACGGGGTCCAGGCGCAGGCGAGAGGAGACCAGGGGCATGTGGCCGAACTCTGCCGCCAACTGGTTGATGCAGTCATGGTCTGGGGACTGAGGTTGAGGCTCGGATCCCGGAACCCCAGGAGCCTAAGAGGTGGAGGAGAAATGCCTTGATGGGCCTCTCTGTTCTTCCGAGGCTCCCACAGCCCCCACCCTGGAGCACGAAGGATTTGGATTAGACAGGGAGAGTGAGCCTCGCTCCGCCCCCAGCCATGCTCTCCCAGGGCCGCCCAGCGCCCCGTGGCCCTCACCAGTGGAGCCGCCTCCTGGTGCTGTTTGCCATAGGGCACTTTGATAGGGGGCAGCTTGGTGACTGCTGCTACTAGGAAGTTCATCAGGACATCCGCGCAGGCGGGTGCCTCGTCTGCCAGGGTCCTCAGGGCCCGGGGCAGGGAGTGGGTGAAGAGAGTGTGGTAATACCTGGGCGAGGGGGGAGAACAGAGAGAGAGGTTGCTGTCGAGTCCACCCCACCCCATCCCCAGGCCCTATTCTGTTCCCTGCTGACCTCCGATCAGCCTTTGACCCAGATGCCTAAGCCTCTTTCCAAAGCCACGCTCCGGGCCCTGGCTGCCTCAGAGAGCTCAGGCAGAGCCAGACTCGTGGGGCCAGGCAGGGGATCAAACATGGCTATCCAGATACCAGCTTCAGGGAGACTACAGAATAATCAGGTGAAGAGATGCTTCTCCTGATGCCCCACAGCACAAGATGAGTCTGCTCTACAGACATCAGGGATGTTCACTTCGCTGAAAATTCCCTGCAGAGTCCCTGGATGAACCTACGAGGGGTTCCATGTTACACAGGTTGGTTTAAATACGCTGAAGGAACTGCTTTGAGGAGCCGCTCTGCTACACAATCCCTGCCCCAAGAGTGAGGCACTTTGGGCAGCTTCGGGATGGTCCCCAGCCCAGCAGATCCACATTTTTAACGCATCAGAACCATTCTCTTGTTACCCCGTCACCACCAAACCCCAACACTGTCCTAATGCACTGAATACTGTACTACTGCTTAAAACAACACTAGCTATTTGTTGAACTCATGTGTGCCGGGGACTTGACTGATCACACCAGCCCTGTGTGGTGAACATGTCCCATTTTACAGACAAAGACACTGAGACTCAAGAGAAGTGAGAGACTTGCCCAGGGTGAGATAAATGGGAAGTGGCAGATCTGGGCCTTGACCTGGGAGCTCTGGGCTGTAGGCCACCCTATTCCTGGGTCAGGCGGGGAGTCTCTGGCCCTCGGATGCCTACACCAGGCCAGCATTTGTACCTATGGTAGAAGGCAGCTGCGGTGAGAACCATGGAGAACTCATTGGCCATCTCAGCAGTATAGCCCCAGCCACCCTGTGCCTCATCCCAGAAGTGGTTCCATGTTAGAAAGCCCACCATCCGCTCTGGGAAGTTCTTCCACACCACAAAGGCAAAGTCCACCTGGAGAGAGATTTAAGTGAGCTGTGAGGAAGGACTTCCAGACCAACCAGAAACATCCTTGCATCTTGTGGAGGCGTGGAGGAGAGGCTGGCCTCACTGAAGAAGGCCAGGACAAGGTTTAGGGGAGAGGAGATGGGAGCTATCCTTGGAGTTGAATAGAAGTGTAGCGTGAATATTTCAGGGACATTTTTAGGGGGAACTTTCTCAGCTGGGAGGCACAAAAATGAGGTTCAAAAAAGTCTGAAAGGCCCAGAGTGGTGGTGCACACCTGTAATCTCAGCATTCAGGAGGCTGAGGCAGGAGGATCACTGTGAGACCAGCCTGAGCTACATAGTGAGTTCAGGGTCAGTCTGAACTACATAGTGAGACCCTGTCTCAGAAACAACAACAACAACAAAAAAAAAAAAAAAAAAAAAAAAAAAAAAAAAAAAAGAAAAAAAAGAAAGAAAGGAAGAAAGAAAGAAAGAAAGCAAGAGGCTGCATCTCATGGCCTGTGGGCCTCCTGGCTCTGCCCTCAGGCTCTGTGCCCCCCCACTGGACTCCTGTTGGGCTCAGCTCACCTCACTTGTAGAAAGACTGCTGTGGGCATCCAGACTGAGGATGGCATCAGTGGTGATGGTGCCGAACGGAAGGAAGCGGTGGCTGAGCTGCAGTGGGAGAGGGTGAGGTGACTGTGACAGAAAACCCACACACCCAGTGAGGCTGGGGTCGAGGAAGAGCTGTGAATACAGCGAGCCACAGGCTCCTTCCACCCTCTGGATTTCAGTATCCCCTGTGGTTAATGCCCTTCTCAGGTTTCCTCCCTCTCCTCACTTAGATCCTCACATCAACCCTGGGAGGGGTGGTCAGACAGCCCTCATTTGAAGGAAACAGGTCTAGGGAGCTGAGAGGACTTGCCCAGAAGCACGCAGCAGGCAGGCTGTGCACACCAAGCTTCCCAGAAGCCACCCCTTCCTGGCCCCCTCTGCCCACATTTCCCCAAGATCCTAGGCCTCTTTGTCCCTCATCTGAGACACACTCTCCCCTCCCTGCCCTCCTCACAGAAACCCTAGAGTTCTGGAAGCACCATTCACGAGGGACAGGGAGGGAAGAGACTCAGTTCCATTAGGTCTGTAGCTGGAACCCAAGGAATGATTTCTTCAGGTCCATCTCAAAGCGTGGCTTTGGCTGAGGGCCAAACAAAAGGTGGGGGTGCCTCCCCAATTCCCAGCACAAGCTGACCCGCTCGGCCCCTCCCAGTGCTCACCTTCCTGGGCCCATCCATGACTGTCAAGGGCACTGCTGTCTCTGGCCACCTGAAAGGGAGCGGCCTCTCTCTGCTCCAGAGAACCATAATCTAGGAGGGAAGGGGGTTCCTGAAGACTGGGGCCTGGGGCAGCAGGGGGTCCCAGGAGTGACTTCCTCGGGGGACAGACAGTACCAGAGATGCATGTGTGAGATACTGCATTGTCCTTACCTTGGGGCTTCCAGAAGGCAAGAAATCTGGGGTGGTTGTGGTAGCCCCTAGCCAGGACCCTGATCCGTGCTCCCTTCTCATCTCTTCTCTATTTTTGCTTTCTCTCTTCTGGCTTCTTTTCATTCTCAGCTCAGCCCAAATGTCCCTCTGAGTAGCTGTTCCTGAGCTGCTTTCTTTCTCTTTGAGTGTCTACCTGGCTTTTCTAGAAATGTCATTTGCCAGTCTGTGTGCCAGGACATGCCAACTGAGTCTGAATCCTGGGGCAGAATCTTGTCTTGCTATTTCTTTGCATAATCAGCGTCAACCCCAGGGTATGTGCGAGAAAATAACTGCTAAGTGAGCAAATGAATGACTGTTTATGTCTCCAGCCTCCTCAAGAAGTACCAGCTTTTTTTGGGGGGGTACCAGGGATTGAACTCGGGTCCTTGCACTTGCAAGGCAGGCCACTGAACCGCTGAGCTAAATCCCCAGCCCCAAGAAGTACCAGCTTTAAGGGGCTTCAGCAACTACATGGAATTGGGGGAAGGGAACAAAAAACTTGGTACTTCAAGAGGAAGGCAACAAGAACCCTTGGAGGTCTTCCCTTTGCCTCCCAAGAATATACATGGTCATCCTGCTATTGGTGTCTTAGAGAGCCCTGCCCTGTCCCTTACCCCACCCTGGATCCCAGGACTCCAATTGGTCAAGGGGACAGACCTGGGCACAGTGCTGGGAGCCTGCCACTGCCTGGATGAGCTTCAAGGGGGGCTGGCCAGGGGTTCCCACCCAGATCAGGGCGCTGAATCTGCCTTCGGGACGGGAGCCTGCGGAAAGGAGACAGAGGCTATTAGGGTGAGAAGAGACAGAGCCCTCTGGAGAGATCCTGAGTTAGGGGACCCCCAAGAGTCAGTATGCATGTCGGAGGCTTGGAGAGGGTCTTAGCAGGGCCCTGTGGGTGAGGCTAGGGTACACTTGGGTGCGATGGAGGGGACTTCACATTGTACTATGCCCAGAACATACTCTGCTGCAGGTGGTAGAAGGGGAAGTCCTGGGGGCTCCTGGAAAAAGTGGACAGGGCCAGGAGTGCCCCTGGAGGGCTGTTCCACAGCAGCGAGGGGTGGGCAGAGGCGCCCAAGATCCGGTCCTGAATAATCTGTGAAGCAAGAGAGGAGGGAGTGGCCAGTGTGGCCCAGAGACTGCAATTCCTGAGGGGCTGAGGAAGTGAAGACTGGGCAGAGCTTCCCACTTTCCCCTTCAGATTCTGAGGAGGGGGAGGGTGGCAGCCATGGCACCCAGACCCCTGGCACAGAAGAGTTGAGAAGCTGAAATCTGGAGGGGAAGCACTGCGATAGCCTCTTACAAGTGACAGACGTGACAATCTTGCTGCCTTCCTTTCCTTCCTCACTCACAGCTGACATAACAGATCATAACATTTTTTTCAGGACTAAGAATCCGGAAAGATCCTGAGATTCTCCTCCCAACCAAGCCAATGCCATCAACTGGAACTGGCAACCCTTTGAATGCATTTGCCACAGCGGTCCTCTCTGCAGGTAAGGAAACCGAGGTCAAGACTGGAGAGAAAGGGGGCCAAGGTCTCACAGCCCAGTCTTAGATACAGCCCACAAGCGAGTTCAAGGAGGAACCTCAAGACTGGAAAAAGAAGGTGTCCAGGGCGATGAATTAAAGACCAGGCAGATGAAGTAGGAGTCCAGGGTTGAGGCCTCCCACAGGTGAGTCCCCCTCACCTCCAGAGTGGTATGGATGACTTTGTCTACTGAGGAGAAGTAGGCATCCCACAGAAACTGGGTCTGCTGTCGTAGGGCGAGGACCCGTGCAGGGTCCATTTCCTGGAGGGCAGCCAGGACCTGGGGCACAGAGGGAGAAAAGATGAGGCCTAGGATCTTGGCAGGCCCTGACTGACTTTGGGAGGGAGAGACCTGTGGCTTTCAGCCAGTTGAGTTCAGGGGTCACACAGAGATGGGTTTAAATGACACTTTAGTAACCATGTGACCGTGACCTCAGGGGGAGGCCCAGGGAGGAGGAAATGTATCAATGCATGTAGATGAGGGACAGCATTGAAGGCTAAAGCCAGGCGATCAGGATCTTGAGTCCCTCCCATGTCCTGGGCCCAGTCCCCACCCATGGGCAGGAGGGCCCTGAGGTACCTGAAGTGGGAGCCGCTCATCAGCTACAATGGCCGCCTTGGTCCAGTCGATGACCTCAGAGAAGGGCAACTCCCAGCTGGGGCTGAGAAGCACAGGGATGCAGCCAGCCTGGGGGGCAGGGCGGTCACTGGGCAGCCCAGTCCCACCAGGCACAGACTCACCCCCTCCCAGGTCCAAGTCATCAGGTCCAAGTTGATAAGGGTCAGGGGGCAAAGAGGAAAGGGAAGTGGGTTTGGGGTGTTCTTCTGCTGGGGGCTTATGAATGTGAGGCCCACCTGCGGCCCAGAGTGAAGAAGTGAAGTGCTGACTAGGCCTTCCCATGGGCCTGTGACCACCTACCTACCAGCACGAGGGGGGACGGATGACGGCGATGCCCAAGATGGGGCTGTACCTGCAGGGCTTGGAGGAAGCGCGAGGCTTCAGCATGGTGGCCAGGGATGAGGCAGAAGGTGGCGTTGGGCAGCTTTTCCCCACGGTGGGTCCTGAGGAGGCACAGGACAGGTCCCTGCACTTGTGAGCCTGAGACAGTTGCCCCTCGCCCCACCTCAGCATGCCCAAGTTCACAGTGTGAACCATCAAACACACATGGCAGCGGCACACTGACAGAGGCACAGCCAGGCCCTAGGAGACAGGATCCCTGTCTGCCCGTGGTGACCTCATACACCCGCCTTCCCTTCACTGGGCCTCAGTTTACTCATCTGCACAATGGGAGGCAGCGGGACCTGCTGTTTCCCAGGCTCCTCCCACTTCCACTCTGCCACATGCAGACTCTGGCACCTTCCACTGCGTGGCCTCCATGCCCGGCCCTCCCCCACTCCCGGAGGAGCCCAGGCCCATGAAAGGCTTCTCTGTCAGGCGGTGGGCCGGGCCGGCAGCCTGGAACCACACAGGAAGCCCTTGCCTAGAGGCCCCTTCACCTGCCCCAAGGACAGGCCCCCTCTGTTCCTCTACCTCCTACCCCCAACCCCAGGGCCACGTTCAGGCTGAGGAGGCTGGGGAAGGAGTCACAGCCTCCTCAGAGCCACCTCCTTGGGTCTGCTCACTCAGGGAGCCACTGCCCCTGATCCACCTGGGGAGAGATGGGCTGGTGGGGGGCCAGGACCCCTGGACTACCCAGACTGGGACTGAGGGTTGGGGGCCTCGTGTATGCAGGACCCTCCTCTGCTGGCTGGCAGCCTGACCTTCAAGAAGCAGACCTGGGAATATCAGGCAGCCCTGGGGCCAACCCCACTGAATGAGAGGGGGACAGAGAGAGGCCTAGGACTGAGCTCACACACCGCCTTCTCTGGGAAGCCCCCTTAACTTCCAGGTAATGTCTGTGGGGCACATATTTTGCTCCAGACCCAGTTCTGTGTGCTTTACACACACTAACTCTATTCTCCCAACAGCTCTATGAGATAGGAAGCTTGTGCTGCTATTTTCCCATTTTACAAATGAGGAAACTGAGGTCCAGAGAGGTCATTTGGCACTTATGCAGAAGAGCCAAACAGGTAGATGGGCAGCTGCTCTCTGCTTAACAGCGTGTGTCAAGCCATGGACTTGCCTGTATCCCCTACAATGCTGAGCTACTGAGGGCAAGGGATGTGCCTCACTCATCTTAGCACCTTAGGGCCTAGCAGGGCACAGGGTGGAGAATGGACACTCTGTGGATGCAAAATTGATGAATGCTCAGAGTGGCACTAGAGGATAGGTCCGAGATCAATGGACAGGGGCCCAGGGGCCAATTTCAGCACAAAACCTAGTAATAGAGCTGAGGGTACAGTCATGGGAGGTAGTGAGTTTCCCATCAAGAGAGCTAAGTAAGCAGAGGCTCAATAAGCACCATTGTGGCCTTTTAGGAGTGTGTTGTAGAGGAGACTTGTGCATGCACATGGTGACCGCCAATGAAGTCTTAGTACTGTGTGACTCTGTGACGTGTTTGCCACAAACCCAGGGCCTCAGAGCCCATCTGCGGTCAGTGAGGCCCCGCCTATGGCCACAGAGCGCTACCTGGGTCTGGCCACAGGCAAGGTAACTTCTGTGTGCCCTAATGCTTTGAACTTTGCAGCCAATCCTGCTATAAAAAAATATTAAAAATTATATTTGATAACTATGTTGATATAAAACCAAACAATATTTTTTGAGTCGGGGTCTCACTTTGTCGTGCAAGCTGGCCTTGAACTTGCTATGTACCCCAGGCTGGCCTCAAACTCAAACAGTCCTCCAACCTTAGCCTCCAGAGTGCTGGGATTTCAGGTGTATCACAAGTCCTGGCCCAAGCAGTGTTATATGTTAAAATGTTTTTCTAAGGGCCAGGGATTTAGCTCAGTGGTTCCTCTGCCTGCTTTGCAAGCGCAAGGTCCCGAATTTGATCCCCAGTAGAAAAACAAACAAACAAACAAACATAGTTTTTCTACCTACATGTTCATCTTTGTCTTCTAAAAGTACTTTTTTGCACCCTAAAAAGTATTTTTGGCCCTACACATGGTACCTGTTGTGTCTGATCGATACAGGCCGGGAGACTTGAAAACATCTATTGAACATACAATTAGGGCCAGGGATTTAGTTCAGTGGCACAGCGCCTGCCCGGCAAGTGCAAGGTCCTGAGTTCAATTCCCAGTACCACCCCCCCAAATCCCACATTTAAACAACGGGGATATCTGTGTACATTATGCCTGAACACACACACACACATACACACACACACACACACACGGTTTCTCAGAGTAGACACCTAAGAAACTGGAAACCATGCATGGCTCCAGGGAGGGAAACTGGGTGGTCAGAAGACAGGAATGGAAGGGAGACTTTTACTGTGTACCCTTTTGTGCCTTCGGAATTTTGTACCCTGTGAATGAATTACCTATTCATAAAAATACATAAGTAACAATTTCAGTGGGTGGGCCCTCATTCTGCAGCAACAGGAGACTGTTCAACCAATATGGAAAAACGTGGGCCGGAGCCAGAAGTACCGGGTTTAATCCCAACTCCAGCACTTCCAGGCGCCAGAACAGAAAAATAAGGGTGTCTGGAGACAGAGAAGCGTGTCACCAAAGGCCCTTGGTTCATTCACATCACCTCTGTGAGCTCAGTTTCTTGGGCCCTGAAATGAGGATAGCAGTGGTTCCCTTGAAGAGTGCTTAAGAGAGTTTTCAATGGCAGGAAAAGTGCCTGGCACCAGCCGAGGGCATGTGGGGGGACCGTGAATTGCCTCGTTTTGGTCAGTGCATATTGATTCAGGCCACCTTGTGAGGGCTGGCCCTGTCACTGCCATCCCCCTCTATCCCTGTACTAAATGTGTGGCCTAGGCAGCCGCCTGGCACTTCACAGAAACCGAGGGTCCAGCTAACCCAGAGATGACAGACCCTGTCACCTGGAGGCGGGTTGAGGCCAAAGTTCAAAGTCCTTGTGGCTCAGAGGCCAATGAGAGGCTACAAAGCTTCAGATTTTGGATATTGATTAATTAAAAATGCTACCAAAGCCTGGCATGGTGACACAGACCTATAATTCCAGCTACTTGAGAGGCTGAGGCAGGAAGGAACAAGTTTGAAGCTAGCCTGGGCAACATAGCAAGACCCTGTCTCAAACTAAAACAATTAAAAGGGCTAGGGATATAGCCCTGGCTTTGACTCTTAGCACCATAAAAAAACAAAACAAAACAACAACAACAACAAAAACTCCTCTCCTATCCAGAGGGTGACCCGTACTAATTAGATGAACAAACTGACCAGTTCTGGCCCATTTTAGATCCACCAGTGAGCATTTGGTGTGTGTACGCGACTCCCTAACTTTTAGTTTCTCAGAGTGCAGACTGAAATAGCTTTGCATTCACCAATAACCAACTGCACTTAGCAGTGGCCCAAGTCAGCCCAAAGTGCAACTTCCTACAAGGAAGAGTGCGCACTCCGATGGGGAGCGAGGGCAGGGCCAGGGAGCCTTGTCACCAAGGGTGAGCGTCCGTCTCTAGTCTTGGCTCTGCGCTCAGAGACTGTGGGGGCCTCAGGAGAGCTGGACTCCTCGGCTAGGGATGGGTCCCTGCAGAAGGGATGGTCGGATCACCGGGTAGTTCCCTTCTTATCCCTGGCTGGGCAGCTCCCTCGAGGCCTCCAAGTGCCTTCAGGAAGTAAACGGAGTCCAGTCCCACAAGAACCTTCACTGAGAGAAGCCCCAGGAGCCTCGTGCAAGGCAACACTGGAGCTGGGCTGAGAGAAGAATTCCCATGAGGGAAGCAGAGCTCAGAATAGTCCTGTTCCAGCAGAGCACGGGAAGGACCCGGGAGGGACAGAGGAGGAGGGCAGAGGTCGGAGAGGGAGCCCTTGGACACCTGGGCTGGGACAACCTCCGAAGGAACTTCCGTTCTGGCCCACCCAGCCTTTGGGGGCTGCTGGTCTCCCAGAGACAGAGGGGCTTCAGGAGCTTGGACGCTAACGGCTTCAACTCCTGTGAATTGTCATCCCGGCTGGCCTGCGGGGAGGACGTTGTGCAGGGCTCACGTGTCCCACAGGCCCCTGTGCCTTATTTATATCCAGGCTCTCACTGGCTGGAAGTTCTTCTTTAGATCAGATCTAAGTCCTATTTGCCATAACCAAAGGCTGTTTTCTTAAGAGCTTAATCCCCCCGAAGTTAGCTGGGAACCATTTCTAGCTATGAGCAGTTACTAATCTCCAGGGCCCCGTGGAGGCATCTGATAGGGTTGACCACTGCACTCTTGCTTAAACCTCAGAACCATCAAACCAAAGGTTTTAGAAATAGGTGGTTCTGGATTAAAATACTGGATGTGCTCATTCTAGCTGTGTGACCTCAGATAAGTGATTTAATCTTTCTGAGCAGGTACCACCCGATCCTAATGTCTGGTATAAAACACTTAAATTAGTATAGCAATTAGTATTAGTTTATTATACATAATCGTTACTTATAGAAGTGCTTATCACAGAGTAAGCACCATACCAGTGGTGTATGTTACATAAAATGTTAGGGTAGGAGGGATCGGAATAACAGAAAGAGAGTAAGTAGATGTGAGTCATGCTTTGTTTTTAAAGATTCCTGAGAGAGAGCTCCAAAATCTGCCTGTGTCACTTCTTGAGGCAAATCACTGTCTTGGAGGAAGTGCTCTCTGTTGTCTAACCTGACTCCCTCCTGCTATAGCTGAGACCTAAGTTTGCGAAGACCAGCTGGTCCTCCGTGTCAGTCCTGCCCTGTAACCTCGTCTCTGGGCTTCTCCTATCACAGCCCCCCTCCCACCCAGCCCCACAAAGGGAAGGTTCACTTACTGCTTGGGTCCAAGGTCTTGCTCACAGCGCCCATCCCAGGGGCAGGTGGTGGAGTGGAAACTTGCTGTGTGCCACCTGCCCCCATCCTCGGCCAGGGCTAGCAGGGCTGCCCTAGGGTGGGGGCTGTGCTGCCGCAGCTGGCCAGGAAACCCACCTCGCAATGGGTGGGCTTCTGGAAGCAGTGGGAGTGACACATCGAAGCCAGGCCGGAAGGTGTCCACCCTGGGGCTGGCCTCTGCCACCATGGCCTGTCCCAACTGGGAGGCCCGGGGACAGGGGTCTGGGTGGAGATTGATGACCAGGTGGTTTCTCCCTCTGTCCCAGTGGTGGGGCACTGGGCCACAATGTACAGCTGGGGCGCCTGGGCTGAGGAGGAGGAGGAGGCAGGCCTCAGCGAGGCTGCGTGTTTGGTAGCGGGAGCCTTCCAGGGAAGCCAGGATCCTGCGCTGCATCTCAGAGGCTGCTCCAGCTGCTGGGTGTACAAATATCTTGAGGCCATGATTCCTGCACCTGGAGGTATCAAAGCAGGTTCCCCAGCTGCAGCTGGCACCCTGGGGGGCTTGAGAAGGTACAGGGACATCTTCTGGTGGCTCCTCAGGCTGGGAGAAACTCCGCAGGAGCGCTGCATCCAGCCAGCGGGGCCAGCCTTGGGGGCCGGCGGGCTGAGGCCTGGGTGACACTGCCAGGCGGAAAAGGGGGAAGGCTCCAAGGAGGATGAAGAGGAGCCAGGAAGCTGACAGTGCCAGCCAGAGGGACTTTCTTCTCCAGAACTGCATGTGGCCACCCACAACCAAGGCTGGGGAAAGCCAGGTGCCCCTGCAGGCACACAGGAAGGACGAGCAGGACCTGAGGGCAGAGACAGGGGCTGAGATCAGCTTTCTAGGCCAGCACTGTCATTGTGCAGATGGGAAGACTAAAACCCATGCGGACAAGTTCCCTGCCTAAGGTCAATCAGCAAGTCACTGGCCATGCATGAGGAGCCAGGGAAGACCTAGCTTTCTGGATTTTCTTTCCTTGCTCAGGACTCTGTTTCCTCAGCCTTTACACAGCCAAGTCAGCCTTTGCCCCACCAGCAAGAGCCCCTGCCCCTGGACACTGGTCAGACTGCTATAACCCTTGTCCGGACTACAAGGCAACGTCCCTCTGCCCTCCTGGCTGCACGCTCTGACCTTGCCCTTGACTGAGAGGAGGGCTGTCAGCCAGGCCATGGAGAACTGGTCAGGGCTCCCACAGGCAACAGCCTTGCCAGGGGAAGGCTGGAAGTAGGGTGATCTCCCGCACTGCCTGGCTGCCTGAACAGACCTTGAGTGGCTCTGGCTACCCCTGTACCTGCTGCCAGGCACTCCTGTGGCCCATGCGGGCCATCAGAGTCAGCTGAAGTGAGAGCCCTTTGCCTGGGGGACCAAGAGGACTCAGGGTTCTGGTCCTCTTACACTCTGCCGCTGCCCCCAGCTCGGGCAGCACTGCCCCTCCCCAGCCTCACAGCCACCCTGGACCCTCAGGCTTGGCGCTCTCGTGGAGCAGAGGCCAGGTCCGCACTAAGCCCTGCCCCATGCCCGCCAAGCCCTGCCAGTGCTTCTCTGTCTCCCTGTCCCTCCAGGCAGCATCTGGCAGGTCCAGATCTCTTTCCTGGCAGCAGCCTGGCTCCTCCCCTGCCAGCCCTGATTTGCTCCTGGCTTGGAGGCAGGGTCTCCACTTAACTCCTTCCAAACCAGTTTTCTGGGTTGCAGACAATAACCAGCAGGTACCACGCCTCAGGGCTGGCATGCACTGTCACTGCTTGTCATTGAATCTTACGGCATCCTCCAGAGCAGAGATTTCTGTCATTTTTTTACAGATAAGAAGAGTAAAGCTGAGACAGTGGATTGAATCCTCCTGAGGTGATTCAGCTAAGAAGTCTCTGAATAGAGATTTGAACCCCAAGCTCTTTTTTTTTTCCTCATATGTGTGTGTGTGTGTGTGTGTGTGTGTGTGTGTGTGTGTGTGTGTGTACCTGGGACTGAAAACTCCGGTCTTTGTGCTTGTGAGGCAGATGGCAGAACCACTGAGCTAAATCCCTGGCTATAAGTTTTTGTTTTTGTTTTTTTTGGTACTGGGGATCAAACTCAGGTCCTTGCACTTGCGAGGCAGGCAGTGGTAAACCCTAAGCTCTTGACCATCGGTCACCCTGGTTGTGTGTTTGAGTGTGGGGAGTTGACAAAACAGAAGATGGGGAAGTCAACAGAGAAGAGAGGCGTTGCGGTTGTGACAGGGGAGTTAGGTAAGGTATTCTGATCTGTCCCAGGGATTGGTCCCTTCTTTCTTTGGTGTCCCCACCCCATGCTCAGCCCCAGCCTTTTCTCTCATCAGTATGGGAAGTTCTTCCTGAACTCGATGCTCCTTTAGTGCATACCCCATTGAGGAAGCCTCTGGCAGTTCCCTGGTCTGCGCTCTCTCAGGGGAGTCTGCAACGCGTGCTACACCCACTGAGGAACAGGAGAAGTGATGGGGAGACATAGGAGCCCCAAGTCGGTGAGGATGGGCCTGGGTTGGTGCTTGGAGCTGGACTCTGCATCTCCCCACCTCTGTAATGGGGATACTAACATCCACCTTGAGATGGATGCCAGGTTAGATCCAGCCTATCCCCTTTTGGGGGGCCCACAAAAAGGGGTACCCTCTTTCTCCTTGCTTGTCTTCCCCTGATATGAGTGTTGCTGATTGATCAGGGAGCTACCACGGGAACATTCTGCCCTGTGCGAGGAGCCCATGTGGGGTGGAACGCGGTCTATACAGCCAGGAGCCCTGAAGATGGCCTTAAGGGAAGCAGGCCTTTACGGGTTGCTCAGTGATGTCCGACCATTCCTGAACGTACTGGGTGCTCTCCTACTAAGGGGGCAGGCATCTGTGCGTGCTGCCAACACCTCCTCGGCTCTCTTCCAACAAGAGGCCACTCAGCTGTCCTTGGGCTGGGTCAGGGCCCTCCTCAGAGGTCCTCCCTCTGTCCCTGCTTCATCTGTTCACACGCTCCTCCACCTGACCAAGACTCAGGAGACCGGCTTGGGACAGGTTCCACATACGGAGCGCTGAGGATGCAGCATTGAACAGGGCAATGAGGCAGGGGGTAGACAGAGGAGGTCTTGGAGAGGGCCTGAGAGGCAGAGGAGAAAAGAGGAAGCCAGCTCTCCAAACTCACAAAAATACCTGCTTCTAACAACTAGGGCACACCTGGTCAAAACAAGGGGGCACATGCAGTATAGGCTTCTGGGGAAGCCCGCTATAGCTTTCCAAAGACCACAGAGAGCATCCGGATCTCACAGCTGGACCACACCTGGTAAAGGCAAGGGGACGCATGGACTAGGGACCATCTTCAGTGCCCAACCCCACATAATTATAATATCATTTGCATTATAGTCTTGATCCTTCCCACCATGGACTTTGGGCACCAAGACACTTCCACAAAGGTCCATGTATGGACAAAAAAAAAAAAAAAATCCCCCCAAACAAAAAACCTACAACAGGAAGCAAGAAATTTGTTCCTAGTTGAAATAACTCACTTCCTCAGTCCAAAGAGCTGCCCCTTTCCTGAAGAAAAGCAAACAAACAAACAAAAAATACCTCATATAGCAACTAATACCTGGTTTCTTTGAGGCTGTGAGATTTCCTCAATGGCCTGCTCCCATCCTGAGGAGTGTAGTTTCACTTTATTTTTTATTTTATTTTATTTTATTTTTGGTATTGGGGATTGAACTCAGGACCTCGTTTGTGAGGCAGGAGGTGACACCACTGAGCTAAATCCCCAGCCCAGGATACCATTCTTGTCCCTGTTTCATGGACAAAGAAACTGAAGCCTGTGGAGTTTAAATTACTTTCCTATATTCCCATGGCTAGCCAGGGGGCCTAGGCCATCCATAACTTCAAAAAGTCAATTGATGGAAAAAAAAAAAAAAAAAAATCCCCCCAAACAAAAAACCTACAACAGGAAGCAAGAAATTTGTTCCTAGTTGAAATAACTCACTTCCTCAGTCCAAAGAGCTGCCCCTTTCCTGAAGAAAAGCAAACAAACAAACAAAAAATACCTCATATAGCAACTAATACCTGGTTTCTTTGAGGCTGTGAGATTTCCTCAATGGCCTGCTCCCATCCTGAGGAGTGTAGTTTCACTTTATTTTTTATTTTATTTTATTTTATTTTTGGTATTGGGGATTGAACTCAGGACCTCGTTTGTGAGGCAGGAGGTGACACCACTGAGCTAAATCCCCAGCCCAGGATACCATTCTTGTCCCTGTTTCATGGACAAAGAAACTGAAGCCTGTGGAGTTTAAATTACTTTCCTATATTCCCATGGCTAGCCAGGGGGCCTAGGCCATCCATTTCTTAAACCTTGGCACCATTCTACCTACTGAGTGAGACGGATGCCCTCCTGTCCTCCCGAGCTCACTGTTCAGAGAGGAAAGATCTGGTAACCAGCAAGCACAGATGGTGGTGGAGGGGACCTGGGAGTACACAGGTGGCCACCTAACCCAGGGGTGGAGACGGCTTCAGAGGAAGTGATGCCTACTCCAGGACCTGAAGGGTAGCAGTGTGACACTTTAGGGTTTCTCTTGTTTGCAGTGCCAAGATCAAAGCCTGGGCTCCGTGGCAGACAAGCAATTTACCGTGGGCTTCATCCCCAGCCTTCAGCAATGTGCTTTTGAGAGAAGTCATCATGGCTGTGTGAGGATAGCCAGGAAATGGCAGATGCAGGAGTAGCAATGGCTTTTCATTTCTGGCCTTGTTCTTGGTTTTAGCCAGGGGGCCTGACTCTGGGGGTCCTGACAGATCCGGTTCTACCATCTGCCACCTGCTACCTCAAGAGCCCAACCAAAGAAAGAGCTGAGTGGCGGCAAAAGGAGTTTTATTTTCAGTGTGGACACACTGGGCAGCAGAGGGGCCAGCATCCTCCACCCTGCCTTTCATGGTACTGACAGGAGCTTTCGGGTCATATGGGGGAGGAAGAAATGTTGGAGGGTGGGGGAAGACGTGTGCCCAGGTAACCGGTTTCGGTCGAGCTGTGGTCTGGTTCTTTGACATCCTGCTGGCTCTGGCAGGGCGCTTTGGTTTCTATCATGGGGTAACTGCCCCACCTTAAGAGGGTAGTCCTACCATGGGGTGGTCTGCCTGTAAGACTTGCTGTTCCTGGAATCTTGAAAATACCTTACTCTTACCTTAGTATCTTTGGTCTCGAAGGTGGAAGAGAGGGGTTAGGTAAATTTAAGACTAATCATCCTCACACTGCCAGTTTTTAGACAGACACTCCTTAAGTGATTATCGCCTCTATGTGCAGAATGGGGCGGGCTAGTAGTCGACTCTGCTCTCGTACATCTTTCTTCCCACGAGCGCTGACAGAATGAACGCCCAGTGAAGTCCTGTTGAATGGTGAAGGGATGGATGGACAGAGAAAGTCAGCAGCTGGGTAGGGAACTGAGGGACACCTGATCATGCTCTGGCGGTGGGCTCCCCAACCAGCTTACAGCCAAGCCCGCATTTGTGCAGTCGGACAAGCCCTCTCCTACCTGCATGCCTGTAGGAGAGGTGCTCAGGCCAGCTGGGCCTGGGCTTGTCTGAACCACAATTCACATGCTTTCCCGGCTTGGATGGGGGAAGAGAAGGCGGGGTATCTTGACACAGAGGACTGAGTTGAGCTCATCCTAAAAATAGATCTCTGTGATCTGCCAGGGGCTCCCAGGCATGAGAGAGCTCTTCAGTGCTCATCAAAGCCTCCAGGAGCCGCTCTCCTGTAGCAGGGCTCTGACCTATGAGACAGAAGCCAATACAATGGGGAGAGAGTGGGCCAGGGCAGGAAGGAGAAGACGGCAGTGAAGAGGAAGAGGACTGGCTTCCCACAGGAGGCTGGACGGGCGTGAAGCAGGCCTTTACGGAACTGTGAGGTCAAGGAGTGTTCTGGACGGCATCCCAGAGCTCTGAGCACCGGGGTGTTTGTTCCACAGTGGAAGTGACTCCACCCCCTATCCTGGGGGCTCCCTACGTAAGGGGTTTCTTCCTGCCACAGATGGCAGTATCACCTCGGTCAAGGTTCCCCAGGCACAGGACAGGGTCTAACACTGTCATTTTGATCTGAAATATTCCCTGCCTGCATCCTACTTGGGCTTCCCTCCCTTCGTTCTTTCTCCTCAGGCTGGGCCTGAAATCTGCAGAAAGAATGGCTGTAGTTTTCAGAGAGGAAAAGCCCTGGACAACTGAAGAGCGCTGTGGTTAAGAGTACAGCTCTTACAATGCTGTGTGTTCCGGTACGGAGGACCCTGGCTGTGGGTCTCGCTCTCCTGCAAAGCTATGCAAGCAAGAGAGAACAATGACAACAGAAGAGGCATGGAAACAAGACTTAAAGAGAAAGCAGGGACCTAGGATGGTCTAAGCTGCTCTGGGCAGCAAAGAGAAAAGGCATCCAAGGCCTCCAGTATTTATTGGTTACAAGTGTGGGAAGAAGTAGGGTAGGGTGTACGTGAGACAGCTGGCGATAGCCGTTATCAAAGGCAAGGCCGTAAAAGGGAGGCACTGCTTCCTTGCAGGAGAAAACAAATGGAAACCAGGACTGGGTCATAATTAAGCAGCCTCCCCGCCACCCCGAGGTAGTTCCTGGGTCCTCCCAGAGAAGCCCATACCAGGGCACCTCC